TAATGCTGCACGATATTGGGCGCTCTGAAGACGTTGTAAGTTATATTCAGTAGTATTACTGAAAACAACACATCCATAAGAAAAACACGGTAGAACAAAGGATTTATAAATTACATCTAATGCTTGTCGATTTAACACACGACTATGCAATTTTAATAGTCCAATCAGTTTATTGATCCTAAGTAGTATATTATCAATATGCGTAGTCCAATCTAGCCTTACAGTTAATAACAATCCTAAGTGTTTATGAACAGTGGTTTGCCTGACGGGATTATTAGCAATGTATAAACGCGGTAGAACAGCAGGAACAGGTTTTAATGTGAATAGCATTGCTTCACACTTCGATATATTAAGAGATAACTTCCAATGTTGAGACCATTTTTCAATCATGACGAGGTCATTATTTAAATCAGAAGCCATTTGCTGAAGATCAGTTCCTTTCCTATACAGTGAGGCATCATCAGCAAATAATTTCATGTCACAAACAAGGTTATCACATAGATCATCAATATAGATTAAGAATAGTAAGGGACCGAGCACACTACCTTGAGGTACGCCTCTATTAATAGTTTTTCCTGATGAAAAGCAACCTTCAACAACTGTAACAATTTTTCTATCAAATAGATAGCTTTCAAACCATTGAAGAAGGAGAGGTGGTATTCCCTTAGCTTCAAGTTTCGACAGTAGACCCTTATGCCAAACTGTATCAAAAGCCTTGGCAAAGTCAAGGAAAACACCGAAAACAGATTGCTTTTCATCAAATGCTTTATATATATTGTGCACAATCGACAGCAACTGATTGACACATGAATCATGATGTCTAAATCCAGACTGGTTCTTATTAATGAGATTATTCCCTACAAGATATCCATACAATTTTTTAAAGACTAAACGCTCAAGAATCTTAGACAAAATAGGCAACAGAGTAATAGGTCTATAATTTTTAGGGTCACTTTGGTCACCAGATTTAAAAATAGAATTAATATAGCCTATTTTCCATGTAGATGGAAATACGCATTGATTGAGGGATTCATTAAAGTTTACGTACTCAATGGCGAGGATGTATTTGTTTGCAATGGATATGGACCAACTGTAACAGCAGCAATTATATATGGCGTTGTACTGAGAGACCACATTGAATATCGAATTAAATATGTATTACCGATTACAGTTGGAAATGTTTGACAAAGAATTTTACTACCCGTCCAAACCACATAAGAACCAGGGCTAATTAATGGATTCGTAGAAGGCATTATAGTCCAACCATATAATGTACCAGTACCATAATCGCCATTTAATAATATATTCTGACCTGTTATTTGTGTTTGATCATAAATATACACAGCATATAAATACCAAGAACTAGTATCACTACGTAATGAAATTGTTAATGTTGTCCAAGTTGAATTAGCAATAAATGTATTATTATATTGTTGTGTTGTTGTACTCAATGGATTAAATAAATGCAATAGTATTCGATTAGTAGATGATGATGAAAAATCAAGTTGGCAATTTGATGGATTGGGACGAGAAATAAAACTTGTTAAAGTACTGTTACTCGAATATGTTGCATTTGATGAAGCTAAGACAAGAAACGACAGAATGCATATGCATTTAGTAACCACCGGATAACCGAGAAATCACTTTTGTGTTTTATTGCTTTCTGTTATTCTTGGAAATCAAATATTTAAGCTTAATACTGTATTTAAGTGGTGTAATATATTATTCAACACGTCTGGGTATTATTGAACCATCGGCTACATCAATTTCAAAACTTTTAAATGCGATAGAGGCAGTCTGTCATGCAGTCAAACGAACTCATTCTTACCTTATTCTACTCAGGTTCCTGATCAGTTTTCAAAAGATAGTTCAAATGGTTGATTCCCTTCTGGCAGGTTTCTTTTCTCCATATTATGATTTTTTGCTTCAGATGGTAAATGTTCCTATTGCTTTATAATTTTCTTCGAACAGCTGATTTTGCCTCCGATACGGTTCTCGATTCTTCTGTTTATCTGAACGTTGATGAAATGAAAAAAGGTTCAGGAAATGCGATGTTTCTACTTTTAGAGAAATGTAGATCAATTCAGAGTAGGAGTGAAAATGCATTATTTTGTAGCCAATCGTCGCCTTTGTCCAGTGACCTTAATGAAACAGTTTCTTTTGCTTCGTATACTATCGGCACCAAAATATAAGGTCGCTGGCTGTTTTTCAGACAACTCCAGAAGGAGAAAAAAAGAAACTTATGATTTTCAATAAGCGAAAGAGGACACTTCAATCAATATTTTCACGATTGCTATCAAAAATATCGGTAACACCGGTTTTCTACGAAATCGTTGGAAAACCAGCTCGAATTTCTGCAAACTGACATAGGAATCTACCGATTTTATTGCACAGATAGATAGTCCGAAGTGTTTTCTATAAAGTACGCTTTAAGCAAAAGCTTGATTTTGCTTGGTTCGGGCGCTTTAGATCTTTTTCCTGAAGTCTCAGGACTTTTCTGTCGTTAGCTTGAAGACCTTCGGAATGCATGAAAACATAGGTTTTCGACTATGCTGAGTCTCGTGGCAATGTTTGTTCTGAGAAAAAGTTTTAAAGCTTGGCAAAACCTAAGTGTTATGAAAACCAGGCTTTTCCGACTGTTTTCAGCTAATTCATAACTCACGCAAAACACATCGGAGCGAGTCGAAATCTTCAAGATGTACAGTATCTGAACTACTATCCGTTTCAAATGGTCAGACCGGTGGTTGCTTTTTGAATAACTTTTGATAGGATGAGATAGAGACCTGCGATTTTCGCTGTTCAACAGCCAAGACTTGAGCAGAACTTTTCAAAAGCGGAAGCAGCTTTTGAAAAACTTCCAGAGGATCTTTGGAAAACCAGCTCCGTTCTCAGAAAACTAACATACAATGTTAGTAATGTTTTTGCATGCGTAGATAGTTCGGACGTTACTCTACAAAATTATGCAAGTCCCGGCTCTCCAGTTATC